TGCCACTGTTTGTTGGCTAGTTGTTGCAGAACTGATCCGATTGCAGTATCTGATGCATCAGCTGAGATGCTTAAAGGTGCCGCTGGATCCTGGTACATAATAGGAGTGGCGTTTGCGATAGCCTTCTTAACCTGAGTGAAAGCATTTTGAGCAGACGCGTCAAGTTTGATGGACTTGTTATTTCCTCGAAGAATGTCTGTTAGTGGTTGAATGAGGGAAGCACAGCTGGGAATGTAGCTTTGGTAATAACTTACCAAGTCGTTAAAAGTTAGAAGATTTTTCACCGTATTCGGTTCAGAGGTTCAGAATCGCCTCAAGTTTACCAGCCAGTGGATGGGTATCCTTACGGTCAGTGGTGTAACCAAGAAGGTCTAGTGATTACACTCCTATCCGACACTTTTGAATATTAATGGTAACACCATGTTGGCGTAGCGTTTCGAATGCCAAGTCCAAGTGTCTAAGATCAGTTTCCTTGTTTGAAGTCGCAGTAGGGCAACCGTCTAAGTATACATATACAAAGTCGAAACCACAAAATGCTTCGCCGATGAGACGTTGGAATGTTTGTGCTGCATTCTGGAGACTGAATGGCATACGTAGAAATTCAAAAAGTCCGAAAGGTGTAAGGACAGCCATTTCGGAATGTCTTCTGGTGCCATCGGAATTTGGATACATGTTTCCAGAAAATAGTTGCACCAGCTAGAGTTCCCTTTACGTCATGTATGTGAGGCAGTGGATAACAATTAGAGGTCGGCTCGGCGTTCACTCGCCGATAATCACCATCTGGTTGCCAATCGTTGCTATCATTTCGTAGTTTCTTTACAACCACTTTACAACTAACATGGTTAACAATAATAAAATAAAGTTCATGAAAATTACTCAGTTATATAAAAACCAAAAGTACATAGTAATGACCAATCATATTTAAATAGGTCAAGTAGTCGCCTACCATGGACTACTTTAAATTAAAGGTAGGTTCCTTCTGTCGATCTGCCCTGTAGCAGTAGGGAGACAAGGTAGATAACCATAGTCTTTCAGCCATTGCTAAAATCACAAAGTTTTCGGCAACATTTTCCTTCTTGGCCATAGGTACTGTGATACCAGCACCAATCAGGGTTTGGAATTGAAAGTGGTTTAGATTTTGACTGGCCACGTGAGCTTCGTCTTTGAGGGGAATGCGGTTGACAGTTGGTGGAAATACGGGTACTGTCTGATCTAAGTAGTTGCTGAACGGAGTTGCATATATCTGTCATTGCAGTGTCTCTACCTGAAAACTGTTTAGAAAAAAGAGCACTTTTCCGTGGACGGCAGTTGTGTTATTTCTAGAATTTTATTGGTAGAAGTAGCTAAATCGTCTAAAACAACACCTCGTAGTGTCACAAGCACGGCCAGTACTGATCGTGGCAATGTAGATAAGAACAGCTCCCTAAAAAGTCCTTCATCGAAATGATGTTGAGCAATAAGTTCCCGCATTCGTGTTACCATGTTCGAAGCTGATTGATCGACTAACTCGGCACTGCGAAATAGTTCGTTAAGACGCAGTCGATCCCAGAGGTCGTTTCTGATGAGGTGAGCTGCTTTAAGCACTTCATAGGGGCTGAACTTTTGAACAGTGACGCATTTGATTAATTCCCGTGGTAGAGCGTGGATAACTACAAGGAACTGTGAATGTTGATCAGTAATCCAGTGTTCACTAAAATCCTACTCGGCTATTTCAAACGTGCTTGCACATTATCTGGCCAAAGTGACACCAGTTGAACAGTGCTGCTACTTATTTAGGTATGAATGGGCTTAGGCGTATAGTCACTAGTTGCGAAATAAATATACACTTTAAAAAAAAGTACAAGAACAAATATAAAATGAGACAAACTCACCGGATTCGTCTGCGTATTTACAAAAGATGAAATTCACGGTAGGGCTTACCAGTTTTGAGTCTAAGGGTGTTGACGTTCACGGACAGTACAATGTATATTAACGCAAGATCTAGTAGCCAAAACTTTTAAGTTATTCATTCCGCATATACCATAGTCACAGAGCAACAACAAAATTGATCGTCTGAATTATGAAGCATATTTTGGGACCAAATTGCAGCGTAAAGTTGATTGATTAACCAGCTGGGAATCGTGCACGAGCGAATGAACCTAACACGATGGCGTTCCAAATGGTGTGGATGCTTGATCATGGGCCTTCAGCTAAACAAGTCCACTTAAACAGTGAGGGTCGGCATCCAGTGTTCAGTGATGAATGCTGTAGCTAATAATTTTGGGGAATTACCATCCGTTACAAGACATTAAATTTCTCGCTATGTCCAAAAAGTTTTTCTTGTACTTTGCTGCTTGCCCCTCCTCTTACACTTGCCTTGTAGTGGAAGTTGCACAGATCTACAGAAAGACTGAAGTTAAACAAGACTTGAAGCCACTTGCTTATATATGTCATATCATCCTTCAGGCAGTTGACTCGTGGTAACTCAACATCCTTAAAAAAGCCCTGTGTTGCCAAAGCAGGACGTTGAACAATTTCCTGCACGTGCAGTGGCCATGAACGAAGATGGAGGTGCAATTGGCTCACAACTGGTCTCCTACATCTTAGTCAACTTACGCGTACAGAACATCAGGCAGCGACAAAGGGCGGCATTGGCAAACTTTGGTGCAGTAGAACAAATCTGCCTGACTATGGCCGATATTCGTCTGCATGGGCTACAATTTGCTTATGTTGTTACCCTACGAAGATGATGTTGAGAAAATTATACAAATATGTCGCTCATCCTAAATCGTCACACCATCTTACTGCTAATGAGTAATGAGGTTTGATATCATACACAGAAAAGCTATGTGGGAGGAGTGACCTCAAGCTTTATTTTTCCCCAAGTATTTGGGATCCATTCAACAGAGATCCGGTTTTTTTCAACACAAAGACCGCATTTCTGTATTTCTTAGTGTGCTATAGTGGCTGACTAGTTGGCACACTGTTCTCACAAACGAAAGTCAAGAAGAACAGCAACCATGTAAATTAACCACAAACCCATTTTTTGTAATTTAAACAGTACTGTTCCAAGCCTATACAGCTGGCATGTTCCTGAGTAGGCAGGAATAAATATCTTACTGCTATAGCAGTAACGCACTTGATCAATGACGGATTTGGAGTGAATCAGCCTACGGTGAGTAAGGAGCTGACCAAGCCACTCAAATATATCGATTAAGTGTGAACGCCCACGGAACTCTGACTTGGCGAGAGAACGATGAAAGTTGTTTGGCGGCAATACATTAGTCTCTACGCCATGAGATGATAAAAGAATGTCACCAGTTAACACATACAGTAGTAGCCAGAATAACCGACCACTTGAAACAAACCATGTACTGACTAGGTGTGAGGGAAGATGTGTAAAAATACGTACTTGGCTGTCCTCAGTGCCAGTTGATGAAAGGAGATCGGTGCATATATCCGCCTTTGCAGTCCCTTGCACTTACGGCAGTAGGTGACTTGTGGTCTGTAGATATAATTGGTCCGTTTCCACAGACGTCCAGTGGCAATGAGTATGTCTTGGTGTTGACGGAACACGCTACACGATCAGTAGACGCCGTCGTGATCCTTGATAAGTGCTCGAGAACCGTGGCTGATGCAGTAGTTCGACACATCATCGCAGACCACGACGCATTAAAGACGATACTGACAGAGCAGTGCCCTTGTTCTGAAAGCGCAGGATTTAATCCCGTTTGCAACAGCTGGGTATCAAGAAAATCAGAACAACACCATATCACCAAGAAACGAATGGTTTGGCAGAGACAAACAACTGTACACTGAACGAGTGGCTAATGGTGACTGGGAGACAAAGCTTCTATTGACTCTACTAGCACATCATGCCTCCACCCAAGAAACAACGACGAGCTCACTGTTTCATTTGATGCATGGCAGGAGACAATGACTACCAATATACATCAAGACTTGACCCCTTCACCAAGAGTGGAGTGTGACGAGTTTGTGGCCGGAACGTAAAGAAAGGTTTAGGGATGTAATGTTCAAACAGAAGATGGACGCTGTGAAATTTTAACAGAGAGGAGAATGAAATGTCTAACGTTTGCAAACGGAGATCAAGTAAAGTGAAGAGAGAGAAAGTATGTTGTATGATGCAGGCTAGGATTACGGAAACTCCCTCCAAAGTGGGAAGGACATACACTGTTACTGAAAAAAGTAGTCTAGTTTATACCGTAAGATAGGGAGACAAACAGAAACGTGTTAAGGCCAGCCAACTGCAGAGGAGGATACAGTGGGATGAGCACGCGGATAACAACACACAAGAGGAGTAAGTGGCACCATGAAGGTTGGGTTGGCTCCTCTCGAAACCATTTGACGTGGGGAGGAGTGTGACGCGCTACTGTCAGGACTTTTAAGTGCCATACTGATGCAGATATAAATACATATACCGTCTACAAGAATGTCGAATGGTAGAGAGGCTTGACGAAACATGCCCCTGAAACAATATGGGAAATAGGAAATGCACATAGGTAAGACGAAACTGCATCATACTGAAGATATGTGAAAATTGTTTTCAAATGCACGGTATACAAGTTTTGCTTACATTTGTGTATCCAGCTGCAGATAAATAATTTGGTTGCTTAATTCTGTCTCTGGCATCATGCTTGGCAGCACCTCCCAGCTGCCGGAATCAAGCGCCACTGTCAAGCTAAGAAGTGATCAATGCCGTTAAGTTGTCGCAGAGGGTGAAGAGAAGAGGGAAAACAACAACTGAAAAATATTCTTTTCATTAATACCGGCCCAAATTACAAGCGGTAGTAATGACACAGTTCTCTAATATGCAGGTAGTAAACTACGAGTGTGTAGGCATTCTTACTGGAGATTTCCTCTATGAATCAGCACTACTTAAATATAAATGTTTGATGTCCTGTTAACCTTATTTTCACTTGAACCGGTGATAAATCGTATGCAGTTTTGTGGAATTCAACTCTTATTGAATATCTGAAGAAACTTGTTTAAGATTACTACCGAGTACCGTTCCTCGGACGGGGGAAATATAACTCTAGTTATATTTCTGGCATTTCTGCATTTAAGGAATGCCGGTGGAAGAGTCCCAATCACGTGTCGCGTTAGTTTGGTTATTTTACTGTTATCATAAATTTCGTTAACTTCAATAATTATTCATCTTAATAGTCAGTTGTGGACAGTAACAACCAAAGTTTTCGTGTATAAATCAACAGTTGCCTGTAGATCCGTAGGAAGAAATGCTAATGCAAAATGATCCTACACAGAGCACAGATAAATGCTTCTAAGGTATCAAACAGGGCTCTAGCTAGTTTTGATAGCCGAACACTCGAGCAGATATTTAGATACGACATGACCTCGGATACTAACTTAAAGTGGTGGTTGATTCAAATGTGAATAACTCAGTCATATATGCGTTTTCGGTAATGCTCTTATGTCTAAAACCGCCGTGTAAACTTAAGCTGCTTTTGCGGTGCTTGTGACTGACTAATAGCCTCATGTTGTACGTTTCTAATTTCTTTTTGAACTCTGAGTTCTTCATATTCAGAACTTAAAGGTTGCTCAACCTAATCTAACCCCGCTTCGGAATACCGTATCCTCTCCGTATCGCACTCTGACTAGCTTTATGTAGAAGGTAAACTGAGACAGAATTACATTTTGTCTTAGTGGATAAACCTTTAATCTATTTCACCACTGAACTGAACATGTGAATCAACTTACATATATATATATATATATATATATATATGCATATATATATATATATATATATATATGCCCAACACTCGTAAAATTCTGTTTGTTGTCCGACTGTATGTATGTCATTAGTTTGACTGTTATTTTTGATTACGGATATTGCTCGTTGAAGATGACGAACTGTGGCTGAATACATTCATCACTTAATGGTTCGGAAGTTTTGGGCAATGCTATATAAGCTGAATGATATTAACTAGCTCAGATAATTAGTAAGGGTACTGAAAAATAGCTGTGCTTGAAATTAGAGTGCTCACACGAATGTTTAACAGGTTTTCACGTGTATGCTAGTAAAAGTCTCTCCGAAACTTCAGAAAAAATTTATTGATTAGAGCTCTCTTATTGTGCGTTAACGGAATGCTTAGTTCTCCTAACGTGTAAGGAATGTCGTAAACAAAACTGACTGGGAACCCTCCACTAAGAATTGTACAAGTCTTCAGCTGCTAGTCATCTCACACCGCAGCCAGACAACTTGTGCTTCCAAGGTCTTGTGGCCAAGGTTAACTTCCTGTTCACCCTGATATAAGTATAAAATTTGGACACTGTGGTAGAATATAACTCCATAATGGTTAAGATTTTATTTTAATAAATCACACAGTGTTGTACAGTTAAATTAACTGATGACGTTTCGAGCACAAACTATTGCTCATAATCATATCAAGTTATGAGCAATAGAAACGTCATCAGTTAATTTAACTGTACAACACTGTGTGATTTATTAAAATAAAATCTTATCCATTATGGAGTTTCCTGTTCACCCATTTTAACTTCAACTAGCATCTTTGAAAATTGTGTTACCAAGCCCTGAGGCCACAAAAAGAGTTCTTTGGTATCCTTAGGTCTTACTGCGAATGATTGCACCGTACCAGTCACGGTTATAGGCGACACTTTACAACGACTAATTCTTCGGTTTTTACTTCACTTAACCCGTCAAGGTTCAACTGTCTGGACTTTACTAATAGTTAACAGAAACAAGACAGAGTTTACAGCTTATTTTGTAATCATGGAGTAGTTTATTGAGTCGTAATAACGAGAACTAGCATGGATTGTTGTAGGTGTACGCTATATGGCGTTGAAAAATTAAGAGTGTAGCTAAGTCATCGACTCAATGTTTCGGGATTTAATTATTGATACTATAAACTCAATGACTATCAGCATGCATGTAACATACTACATCCTAAATCACATGTATTATATATTGGTTAGTGCCTGGCTATGTAGACGTTGACAGTTAAGATAAACTATAGACTAGTGATAAGAAGTAGAGCCGATGACAAACTGCAGCAATAATACGTAGTCAGTCTATCGTAAACTGGTGTGTGTGTGTTACTACGAACTTGATCCCTAATTTAATCAACTTAAAAATGTTGATTATTAAGCAAATCAGAGGACTCGTTTACCTATAAAGATACTTTCCTAAGAGAGAATACTAATCACTAAATAGCTTGAAGTTATGTAAAGTAAAACAGATTTGTCTGGCTAAGTACAAGACTTTTGTTGTCAACCAGCACAGCAAAGGGGCATGTTATCGATGGAGCATGTTCGGTTAATTTGTCACCCTACACGAAAGCACACAAAGGTGGACAGAAAAAGAAATGTAAAGGAACTATGATAAGTAAAAATGTATAGAATAAAGAGTAAATGCGTGATTAACAACTAGGAATTATTGAACTTCGGAGGGAATACACCATGTTACCAATAATCTCTAGACTTCAGTTCTTAACGTCTTAAGGATCCCAACCAGACTGTCTACACTTCGTCATGTGGTTCAAACCAACAGAAAGAATTTGTGGACTAATGCCATGTTTTAGTGTGGCCACCTAATCTGCTAACATGAAGAAGATGGTGGCTCGATATGCATGACAAATGTCCTAGCCACGCTACGTTTGATTTTATTATTACTGACTATATTATACCACCTAACACGAGAGATGTAACTCAGATACTAATGACCAAAAATGATCAGTCTCTTTGTATCCACAACTTTCAAATGGTATACCTCAGCCTTAGAGGTGGATGGGGCGAACTACTGTACTGCTTAGCAACACACATGATTTTTGATGGATAGCCAGTTTTCACTCCGACACAAGCTACAAAATGACAAAGAAGCCTTTTTAATTCTAGCAGAAATTTCCCCAGCAATCAGTCCATTATGACTGGTGTAACTTCTTTAATAAGTGAGATAGTAAAATGATCAACTATTTCACTCCCTATCCTCAAAATGAGTCGGTGCGTACCAGTCCTGTAGCATCAACTTACATTTAACAGGAACGAGTCGCATATCAAACATACGCAACTATTCTCTGAAGATATTTGAAAGATTACATTTGTCAGCGTCTCCAACTGGATGGTTTATATCATCTGCATAGTCTAAATGAACGAGACTTCCGTGAAAACAAGTCAGTCTATGACTCGCCAAAGCTAGTCAGAGCCACCTTTATTAATACATTTATAATAGGATAAAATGAAGACGTTGTGCTTCCCTAATGGACACCACTGGCTGTTATCGCTCCAGATGACAAGTGTGTATAAGCTCTTGCATGACTGTGGGATGCATTAGTGTCTTGGTTAGTGCAATATACCTTCTTAGCACTTTCTTCAAGGCTAGACATTGCCACAAAAACTGTTGGTTGATGGAGTCAAGCGCTGCTGTCAGATGAAGAAGTGCTGAACGCCAGTAAGTCGCGGAACCTATCGAAGGGTGAAAGTCCGCATTCGAGCCCAAAGTCTGACTTGTTTTCTTGGGGTTTTTTTTCCCGAGAGTCGCTTATTCGTTGCAAAACTATGGGTACTTAATTTTTAGAAACAGGCATTCACTGAAACAAATCCTGAAATACCCAAAGAATCTGAAGGCATGTGGTAGTTTATACAGCCTATATCTAATGATTTTTATATTCGTTCATTTATTTCGAAACTGATTGTATTTCTGCTGTAATAAGTTGAACTCCAACCTTGCTTGATCCTGAACGTAAGACAACATATGCAGCAGCACCTGATTTTCAGCCGATGGATTCAGAGTTAAAATCCCGTGCTGTCTGCTGTTGCCTCAGCAACTGGTTGGTGTCTTGAGCCCTCATTTAGTTAGTGTGGTTCAGAGCCTGTTTTGTGAGAAATCTGTCGTATGTAACTGTGCTCTACCTGGATAGAGAAAGAAATATTCGTAACAAATGCTTATATCTGAGTCTTATATGGTAGGCGAAAATGTCACCTACTGTACTTTAAACTGCACTTTACTTATATATAACATTAAATCTAATGTCACACATGAACATTTATTTGCTCTTATCTAGAAGTACATTGATCTGTTAGCCACTATCTGTATTTTTGCGTATTGTTTTAAATTCAACTTCACTACCAATGCCTGATTCTAAATGTCCAATCACAAACTGGAAGCTAATTGCCATAGTAAACATCCAGTAAGAATACACAAAATTGTTTTTGTTAGGATTCAAAAACCCTAATGGGACGATATTTATGATACATTTGTATATCACCGAAGTCGGTGCTCCAACGTGACGTCAGTCATTGACAGATGATCTTCAACGTGTCTAAGTAAGTACGATATCACTTACACGATACATAGCACTCTCAGGAGTTTAATTAACAGTTTGAGAATGATGCGTTTTTCACCTTCCAACCAGTATTTCTTCCCGTGAGAAATACTGTCGTAAAATCTGTCCATTGGTGGATATAAACGTCACCCAGTCAATAAATACAGCTCGTTGTGAGCGCTTGCAAGACTGTTTGTGTTACAAAAATTGGCATTGTGTAACCTGGCGACCTCCATCACCAAATCAACGCTGGACTCAGTTAGACCACATAGCCATAGGGTATCGTTGGCGAGGGTCAGTAGAAGACTGTTGCTCCTTCTGGAACACGTGCGTAGACTCTGATCACGCTCTCGTTCGCACACGTTTATGCTTGCGACTAAATGGACATAAGAAATTGACGGCAACAAAACAGTTACGTCCCCAACTAGATCGAGACACCGAGTCCTTATTTAAGGAAGAAATAGAGAAACGAGTTTCTGAGGTCGACAGCAGGACTTCCCCTGAGGTAGCCTGGCACAACATACAGTTAGCTGTGGACACAGCCGTGAAAGCTGTCAATAAGCTAAAACCTAAAGTTAATAAAAGCCATTGGATCTCTACCGCCTCATCCGAACTGATTGACCCAAGAAGACTGATTCCAGCGAGCTCCGATTATGATGAGGAGCGAAAGGTACTTAAACGAAGACTAACAAAAAGTCTTCGCAAGGACCGTGAGCAGTGGTGGGCGACAAAAGCGAAAGATATGGAAAAGGCATTGGCGATTGGCAACACCAGACAGCTATTCAGGCTTATCTGGGAAACAGGTGGCAAAAGGCAAATGATAAGCGAAACTATCTCGGAGAAAAATGGCACCATAATTAGCTCCCAAGATAGACGACTGGAACGCTGAAAAGAACACTATGAGGAACAGTTTAATTGGCCTACAGCCATACTTAACCTGCCGAACATCCAACACCTCCCTGAATGGGATATAGACACAGGTCCTCCGTCCTTAACTGAGGTTACTAAAGCTGTCACTAATCTGAAGCAAGACAAAGCAGCGGGACCTGATGGAACGACTCCAGGGGTATTTAAGTACGGTAGAGACAGTCTACTGTCTGCATTAACTGAAGTTCTAGGCAGAGTCTGGGAATCAGAGGAAGTCCCATCGGGTTGGTGTAAGTCACTGATCATCCCGATATACAAGAAGGGAGACAAGTCTTCTTGTGATAATCACAGAGGGATTAGCTTGACTAATATAGTATCTAAAATCCTAGGCTCAATAATACTGCGTAGACTAAGTGGTGCTCGGGAGGTACAAACACAAGAAAACCAGGCAGGCCTTAGGCCAGGAAGAGGGTGTATTGATCACATCTTCACCCTTTGACAGATTCTAGAACACAGGCATTCCTACCAGCGTCCAACAATCATTATATTTCTTGACCTAAAGGCGGCATTCAATTCTGTCGACCGAGAGGTTCTCTGGCGATGCTTAGCTGTAAAGGGAATGCCGAGGAAATACATTGCACTGATTAAGGCACTCTACTCGTACTCATGCAGCCAGGTGAGAGCTTACGGCGAGTTGTCATCTGAAGTGGTGACGACTAGTGGTGTCCGTCGAGGATGCCCATTTCTATTCAATTTCATCATAGACGTACTAATGGACTTAACCCTAACTCACTTCAGCGACTCAGGGATTGACTTGCTACCAGGGAATAATCTCTTTGACTTAGAATATGCAGACGATATAGTCCTTCTAGGTGAGGAAGCTAACAAAATCCAGCAGAATCTTCTGAACACCTTGAGCTGCAATCTTCGTATGTTTGGCATGCCATTCGCCCCTGTAAAATGTAAGATGATGTAGGATTGGACTACACCGACCCCTAGATTAGAAATAGGAAGTGAAGTGGTAGAGCACGTTGACCGCTTCACTTATTTGGGAAGTTGCATCAGCCAACGCCAGTGGGTTGATCGCTGACGAAATCTCAGTACGGATACAGAGGGCTAGTTTCGCATATGCCAGTTTACGCCGTCTCTGGCGTACACGTGATATCCGACTATCGACCAAGGGGCGTGTGTACTGCTCATCAGTCCTCTTTGTGCTCCTCTATGTCTGTGAGACCTGACCATTAAGACATGAAAAGATTAGCTGTCTTCGATCATAGGTGTCTGAGTTCTATCTCCCGTGTGAACTGGTGAGCAATATTGAAATGAGGCTTCGGTCGAATGCTAGGTAAGGAGGGGAAATCAATCGACGAGGCTGTGAAATTACATCGACTGAGATGGTTAGGAAATGTGTTACGAATGCATGCCTAGTCATCCTCGACGGTCAATGTTAGCTGATATAGGATCGGGTTGGAAAAGAGCCAGCGGTGGTCAAACGAAAACATGGCACCAGTCAATGAAATCTACAACAGTTAGTCTAGGCCACTTAGGAAGGTGTAGACTTCCTGACTGGTTGGGGTCCTCGGGACGGTAAAACCCACTGGTTGGAAACAATTGGTGACATGGCTCAAAATCGTTCTCAATGGCAGGCGCAGTTGCATCCACTCCTTGTGACTTATAATATCCAATGAAACTATATTGTTCTTCGTTATTACTATTCCTTTGTCTCACACCTCTGTTTACTGTCTCTAATATGCATTTCTCCTGCTTTCTTCTCTTGCTTTGTGTGGTACATGCAGGGAGTGTGGCGACTTGAACTGCCGCACATATGTCCAGAGTTCTCTGTCGAAAACAGACAGACTCATGCATCCTCACAACCACTGAATTTGTCTTCTTCCCTGACAATCGAAACAACTATTTACTAAGCAGCCGGGATACAATTCAGTTCAGCTGATAATCTTCGTTCATCATCCTTAAATGTCATTTCAAAACAACACATTGGTATCTTATATTGTATCTCACGTAAAATTACTTAAAGGTTTTCCTACCTCCTCAAGTATTGAGGGTCGTATTCAAATATATATTTTTAAAATTTTTGATTATAGCTTGATTCCATACCGAATTTTTTGGTACAAGTACGGAATTTTCAGCATGTGATTCAGTAACCCAATTTTGCAGGCCGACCATTGATATCAGGCGTGCGTGGGCAGGGGACCGAACCCCGGACCATGTGCATGGTCGGCGAGAGTACTAACCGCTGTGCCACCGACAGACTATAAACCAATTAGGTTATTCGTCAAAGTGTACTGTTAATCCTTTCAGTTGTGCTTTTTCTCCTCAAATATCGTCTCTTTAATTCCTGATTCCCTTTGAACTATGTGATCTTACAAAAATATGTATACAGTGTTTGACTTTCAATTGTCATGCTGTACATTTTATAGAACTCATCTCGAGGCAATACACTTTAACAATATTTGAAGACTGCGTTTTAGTTTGTGGCTCATTCTTCGACATTTATTTTTTATGGAATAAATAAATAATTATGAAAGATTGAGGGATTATAAATAAGTTGCTAGAGATTAGGTATTTTTACAGAACACTGATCTCGACATTTATCACAGTTGACTGATCTCTAACTAATCCAATAAGACTAAAACAGACTGATGTTTGACAGAAAGTTATTGAGTTTTACCACTAAAGACAAGTAACGAAACCATTCGTGTCAGTTGCACTATGGACATTGACTTTCAACCAAAGACTCCGGGTTTGAATCCCGCTCCATCTGCACTATCCTGACAGAACTGAGCTCATACATGCATATTTCAGTGGCTGGATGGTGAATAGGTCCTCCTTGTAAGCTGAAGGTTCTGGGTTCTATCCCCGGTAGGATCATGGATGAGCACTACTAAACAGTTCCAATCAGTAAACTCTGGTTTGTGCGTCGGTGGTCCAGCCATGCGCGTGGTTGTGATTGAATTCCCTGATGAAGCATTCCTAAATCTCGCCTAGAGTTTACTAGCCAATAGTAGTAGATCTGGAAAAAGAGGGGGGAGGTTGGGTTGTGAGGCTAGCAATCCCATCCCGGAGAACAAACAGCACAACGACTCCTGAAACTTCAAAAGCCTGGAGCCATGTGTGTCACTCCTCCTCATACATAGAGAAAAATGCCACATTGTAATTTCCAGTGATTGACTAACTAATATAAGATAGGTGTTGATATTGGTAGTGTAAAGCCACACTGTGCATCTATATCGTTTTGCATTTGCTTTTACCTATCAAATACCTGTTTGCTTTCTTTTACTCAGCTTTTTGCAACATATGCACATAAAATGTCAAACTTGCTCTACAGTGAGTTTTTTTACTTAGTCTGTATAGATTGATTAATTATTGTCGTATTGTGTATATACATATATAATTGTTGCTTCTCTTGCTTTCCTATCCATTAGACATGCCTTTCTTCTGTCGTGATCACACAATAAAGTAGTCGTTGTTCATTCGCCTGCTCTGTTTGCATGACCTTGTCTGTCTGATTGTCGATTTTGACCTGACCTTATTATCATGACGTCATTATGTATGTATGTGAATATATATATATGCGTGTGTGTGTTTGTGTGTAGGGCGATAGGTTAGCATCACCTGTTCATTATAAAAGTTCAAAAGCTCTCCTAAATTTATACTTTAAGGGTGAATAAAGATGACCTTTGATGAGTTTTATTTATTCCTAATGTATTATTTATAGCCATTATATGGGTGTGTCTGTCTACTCAGTAGCAATAGGTGTATCCAATTGTTTATTTATAGTTGGAATAATACCTCACTTCCTTTGAGTTTTTGTTTACTGGAAAAGTTTAAAAACAAAGACGTAAATTTCAAATTATAAGTTTTAAGGATTTCATCATGAACTGACATTGGTTAGAGAACCATTGGAAAACCTGGGAGTAGTGGGCAGCTGTTTCGTCCTAATATCTTGGGACTCTTCAGTTGTACACACCCACCCACATGGGTTCGAACCCAGGACCTTCCGGTTACAAGGCGAAAGGGGCTCGTAGACCGTTAAGCCACTGGGACTCGAGCCAGCAGGTCGAGTGTGAAGACAAATACTTGCCGATGACATTGGCTAGTGCCAGTCGCGCTATATCGTGAATCGACAGAAGTTGGAATTCATGGAGTAGCCATTGGATCGGGTCCCAGTGGCTGAATTATATACTAACTCGCTCGCCTTGTAACCGGAAGGTACTGGATGCGTACCACTGAAGAGACTCGAGAGACCAGGACGAAACAGCTGTCCCTGGTTTTCAATGTTTCTCCAACCGATTTCAGCTCATGATGAAATCCTGAAACCAATCAAATCCCTGTAAACTGACACTTGATGTAAGTTTTAATTTCCTTCTTGCTTCTTCTAGTATCATTGCTTTTCTGTAGGTAGTATGAGTTGTCAACATCTTCTTCGTGTAAACTACTTCCCCTCTCCACGATATGATTTAACTCCTTTTTCTAACTCATATAGAAGAGTAGTAGTGACTTTCTGATGTTAAATCATTTATTCATTGTTTTTACCCGTCTTTTCTTGTTGTAAGTACAAAATTTCCTATATTCACGAGGGAGAGAGAGAGTAGAGTGAAACTGCAGTTCAACAATTATGCAATTTAATAAATGATGTGGATGTCGTAGTCAGATCTGTTTTTTGACATAATTCTTTGCTAAGCTTGTTGTTCTCGTTTATAAGTAAAATAAGAAAGCATAACCTTAAGTCTGTAACCATCGCAAATTCTCAGTACTTATCAATAATTTAGTTATTCATCACACTGTCAATGTTGATGCTTTAACCCTTAGTAATTCCTGTTTTGTATGAATGATGTAAGTAAGTATACAAAAATGAGTTGAGATTTTTAAAAAAAGCGCAATATAACCTTGTGTGTCAGTTAATTATAACAATAAATCCAAGGAAGTAGATTTGCAGTGGTGATTGTTTTGTAGAATAGCTTTCAACCACTAACACTTTACTCACCTAACAACCTAACCGAGTTTACTACCTAAAACTTTTGAATATAATAGACTGGTTGGTATGAATAATTTAAACTATTGGCCTCAATGTGTCCAGTACTAATTTGATTTTGGTTCATCTACCCTGAACAGGTTTTCATGTAAAACTAGGATATATAAACCACATAGTTATTGTATGAGAGGGCTGATGATGTTACCCGGCCTCTTTCCCTCAGACTGAAGTAAATGGAGAGGAATTTGAAACCTGGGACACCCACTCACTGACTAACTGTAGGACAAAATGTGTGCACTACAAAAAAGCAAGTTATAATTAGCTTTCTTAGATTCTTAAACCACTGCTATTGATTTTATTGTATATTTGTCTTTCAGAGATAATCTTGGATTAGACTTAAGTCCTTATAATATTGTTCAAGGCAAATCATTTACACGATCTGTTTCAATCAGTGAGCCTACCTCTTCCGGCATATCTTCAACTTCACTTGGTTGTAATACAATCTCATATAGTGCTATAACTGGCTGCTGTCTACCATCTATACGATCGGCTAGCAGCGGTGAAGGCGGCAGTACAACATCAGTAGTCTCTTATTCACCATATTCATCAGCTGCTACAGCTATTTCACCTGAAAGTCCACTACCTGATCCAAACTATTTCACTGCAAACCCATTAACCACCTCTTTATTCATCAATCCTGTAGAAACACCTACATCTATTCAATATTCTCCGAGTATGTCCTCTACAGATAATGAACAATTATCTCAATCAACAAATCAGCTTAATGATGGTAATAGTGGGGATTGTCAAAGTCTACATAATATTGATTTTGTTACAGAACACTATGCACCACTTCTACAAAATCCAAATATTCTCAGAACAATTAATTTTCTTTCACACTTACTTGATTCCCGTTTAACAACTGATTGGCGTCTACCTCTTGAATATTGGCAGAGAAATTGTGCAAAATTAAACTATTCTAATGTCTGTCAACCGCCTCTTCCCTCGCCTCATGAGCATACTACTACTACTGCTACAAACACTAGTAATACTGCTACTGCTTTGATCAGTGGTAGTCAGTTAGATGTTACAGATTCTACGCCAGTACACAGTTACACAACAAAGACGACATCAGCTACACAGAATTCATTACAATCACCTGAACAAGAAGTGTGCGCAGTGAAACGTTGTAAGCTGAGTAGTAGTAGTAATAATAATAATAACAGTATTAATCCACAAGTAAGTTTGTATGTTTTGGTTTATGTTCTTCTCTACTTATATATACATGCATAGTACTTAAGTGTGACTGATGACGAGTCCTAAATTAGAGCGAAACAGATGTCAATGATTCTCTAACTGATTTTGGTCTGTAACGAAATCTGTACTGAATTCCTACGTATTTACTGTCTAGTTAGTGAAGTATTATGTGGTGATCGGTTCAATAAGTGTTTTAATTATTTTTTCATGCGAGGCTCTACAAAATAGGCTTGTCTTATGTATATGACCACTCATTGAAAATAAATTTTTTTTCATCATGAGCTGACATTGGTTAGAGAACCATTGGAAAACCTGGGAGTACTGGACAGCTGTTTCGTCCTAGTTTGGGACTCTTCAGCTATGTCATAAATTGGCAGAAGTTAGAATTCACGGGTTGGCCATTGCATCGGGTCCCAGTGGCTGATGAATGGTCTACGAGCTGGGTCTCCTTGTAACCAGAAGGTCCTGGGTTCGAACCCCGGTGGGTGCTTACTGCCGAAGAGTCCCAAAACTAGGATGGCGAAACAGCTGTCCAGTACTCCCAGGTTTTCCAATGGTTCTCTAACCAATGTCAGTTCATGATGAAATCCTGTAACCAATCAAATCCTTACAAACCAACACTTAAATTTATTTTTTTCCTGATAAAATGGTAGATATTTACTGTTCAGGCTTTCCTGAGTGCTTTTCTTAGTTTTATTTTTGGATTTCAACAAAATAAATTGACGTTAAAGGGATATTGGTGACTGACAGTATAAACTCCAGAGCAAACGTTCCATCCTATCTGGGACACATCAGCTGAGTGGTGTACCTGCATTGCGTGAGTGATGCAGTCTTTTTTAAACAGAATTTATAGCTCAAAGAGTAGTGACAAATGTACTAATCTCTAAAGTATTCTGACTTTCAGTCATAAGGATATTGGATCATAGGCAACTGGGTAGTGTGATAAGTTGTTCATTCACTGCACACTGATTGTGACTCACAGTCATAAGTTTTCCCGCTACTTCTCTCTCGCTGTCAATATCTCTACTACTTGTACCAAGTTTGTTTATTACAATAAAGTAAACAAATAGGCGTGTTACCTTTCAACTATCGATTCATAAGTTTTAACTTTGTTCTATCTTATGAAGAGTTTTACAGCAATGAGGAGTCATCAATATCTCCTTCTCATTACTTAATGCCTAAACTTGTGCACTGGTTGTTGTTAACTTCAATTACATTAGAGCAAACTGCATACTTGCTTGATTCTCTTAATAAACTTCGATAATGAAATAGTGGAGAAGTTTTATAGCTCACGGGGATTAGTTTGATTCAGTTGTGTTCTCTGAGTTGGCTGATTTAATTTCTAAGATTTCTGTGTCCTTCTGAAGAACATGTTCAGTGCAAGTTTTAACGTGAATTCGAATTTTCCATGAAACATATGAAAACATTGGAGAAAAAACCGGAGACTCTGACTGCACGTCAAAAACCTCTATTTATTAAGTTACAATTTAATGGTGACTTATCAAGTGAGATTCTATTCCAAAGACTTTCAAGGAGTATATGAAAAACATTTTATGCAGCACACCTATGTTTTTCATTCTCTAGCCGACGAATGATTGGGACGCAAACGAAGGATAAGCTAGACAGTTTTGCCACATCTATGTGCATTTATCAATTCAACTGTGCTTTTGTGGTGACAGTTATGTTGGGTGCACTACTTTGGTAAACTACTAGACAGACAACCAGCGTGTTAGTGAACATCTCCCATCGTGGTGGTATGGCAAAGGACAGACGAAAACAATCCTTAGCTCAATTTTGTCACAATTGATAGTGGTCATGTAGTGGAGAAGACGAGAGCTTTCAAAGTAATTCATCGTATCCCACCGAATTTTTCCAATAGACTTGGTATTCGTTTACTGCACACAGCTGAGGCGATAGGCATTCAAACTATTAAACCTAAACTGTGTATTCAAAAAAATTTCTTACGGCCATTATCTCTCCCTTGTTGGCCTATTAGGACGTAACCAACTAATAACTTCTACACCACCCTTTGTTTATATTTTCAACCCCTTTCTTATCATCCCTTAATCTCATCACGTCTTCATTATAAACGTGTTTCATTTCCTTCCCTTACAATCTAACATTACTTAATCGGTTCATTTGTTCTTACTAGCCTTTATCGACTACTTCCATCTGAATAGTTGTTTGTTTAATCACGCTGTTTTTCATTATTCATCTCATATTTCATTAATACATCTCATCCAACAGCTATACGACAATGCTGCATGCCAAGTAATCCACAATGGGAAACTTACGGAACCCTTCGAAGTGAGGACAGGAGTAAGACAAGGCTGCCTACTATCGCCAATGATTTTCCTGATTGCAGTAGATTGGATAATGCGACAAACAGTGGGCAATGAGGAAACAGGCATACAATGGACTCACACAAAAAACTTGGGGGATCTGGACTTCGCCAATGATATATGTCTGATTTCCCACAAACTGGAAGATATACAAGCGAAAAGCAACAAGTTGGCAGAAGAACTATCAAAGACAGGACTTCAGGTGAACATAGACAAAACAGAGGTAATAAAGATTCCTGGCCAACATCAACAGCAACAACCGACAACAATCAGCATAAATGGGAGGAACCTGAAGGAAACAACTTCTTTCACCCACCTGGGAAGCATCGTTTCAACTACAGGCGGACGGAACTGACGAGGATATCAAAGCAAGAATCCGAAAAGCAAGACAAGCTTTCACTGCTCTCAAGTCTGTGTGGAGGTCAACAGCACTCAGCATCAAAATGAATATAAGATCCGAATTTTCAACTCCAATGTGAAGTCAGTGCAACTATACGGATCAGAGACTTGGCGCGTTATAAAGAACACCTCAAACAAACTACAGACCTTCATTAACAGCTGTCTTCGCTCAATAGTACTCATGATCAGATGGCCGGCCAGAAAAGATCAGCAATAGGGACTTCTGGCAATGAGCGAACCAACCAGGAACCGATTGTGAAACAAATATGCAGAAGGAAATGGAGATGGATTGGCCATACTCTGAGGAAACCATCAAGTGACATCACTAGACAAGCCATTGCTCTAGTGGAACCCGAAAGGGAAGCGGCGAATTGGTGGTCAGTGCGAGGGTGACTTAGAGGAGGTCATGTGAAGAGGAGATGAAAACGTGTGGGCAGACATGGAGCCAGGTGAAGACCCTAGCAGAGAACCGAATGCAATGGAAACGCACGGCTGAAGCCCTATGTTCCTCTAGGAATTAAAGGATACAATAATAATAATAATTTTCATTATTCGTGTTATCACAGATCGCCTCACTTCTTCATCCCTATTACTGATAGGACCATTATTACTATTATGACTACCATCTTATTATCCTATAGACAAAACACCATGATTGGTTTATATTTGAAGTTTTACCTGTAAAGTTATGTATATTAGAGTTAAGCCTGATGAGATCTAATTGAAACCACAATATTGTTCGCTTAAATGTGTTGTTCTAAATATGATTAAATTTCAAAAAGAATAGATTGAACGGACTCTCAATCCCGAACATCTATCAACATTTAACTCTCGTGTCAAAATATCAAAAACAACGAAGACGAGTTTGTCCTCAAAGAAAAAATTAGCTAAGATTTTTAAACAACCGTCTTAGGAAGCGCTGAATGATTGCGTAGTAAAATTTATCGAAACAACCATTATTAAAAATATAAGAGAACAGCTTCTTCAGAAAGGACTTAATCTACAATACTGGTGACGCTTGAAAACAGATTTCTGTGTTTTCTTAGAATCATCACCCAAATCATCAAAACAAATGAGGAAGTACAGCATGATATACGTCAATGTATCTTACCTATAGTCAAACAGAAAGAAGCACAATAACCAAATTGACACTCAAAAGCGAAATGCATTGAAGATACTGAAGACAAAGGAAGAACAACAGTAATCATGGACACAGTGTTAAAGCATGATGTTACGTAACACTGGAGAAAATTGAAATTAGCTTAGTGAGCTAAAATCATTAATATGGATAGTTATGCAATAAATGAAACTTAAGTCGAAATTCAGTTACTTAGGGAGTGAAAGATTGATGACACTGCCATTCCATATACACAAGTTTGGTTGGGACATTTGATCACTGTCACTGACCGAGACCAGAGGGGAAACGACTACTGCTTCTTTGGACAATGAACATTCAGTTGATAGAGTCCCGATGGGTTCACCTCTGAGAGACCTATCCTATCGGGTATCTTCATGCGTTATCTCGAACAGATACTATTGAGTTGAGTTCTGCAAACAATGATGAAACAACCTGTTATCGCTGATATGTCAGTGTTGTTTTTTGTAACGATAAGAATTACACATGAATATTAATTATTTCACTGACACAAGAAGATCTATCCTAACGTTAAATCCACCGTGGAATATGAACATGACAAGGAGTTCTACTTTCTGAATCTTAATGTGCAAAGAAGAAACAGTTGTGTGATCGAAAAGACCATCCAATAGAAAAGAAACTCAGACTAGGCAATATCTCCACTACAATAGCTGCTCTTCCTTCTTGCTAAGACGGAAGAGCTGTTCAGTGCTGCTTGTATTCACATGAATCTCTAACTGATTCATAGGCTTGTGATAAAACCTACATTGACATTATACATCCATTAATATTGGTATTACTTTATGATTGGCTGGCTGGCTGGATTCAACATAGAACTTGGCACCGAAGTGCACCAGTTCGAGTTGCCACGTTCCAAATAGCACACAAAGGTAGCCAAGAAGATGAGTGAAGAGAATCAATAGAGTTTTGACAAATATAAGAGTGAAACAGAATGAGTAATGGTAGAAAAGAATATGAAAGATTACAGAGACTGAATACATCTGCGTAAGCCATTGACAACGATTTTGAGCCATGTCACCTATTGTCTCTAGCCATTGATTCTTAGAGTTCCGAGGGCGGGCCCCAACCCGGAAGTTTGCATCTCC